ATTTTGGCTTGACTGATTCATATTTAAGGTTATTAATGTTCAATATTGTGTTTCAGGCTGCCATGTTATCTTTATTATTCACATTTCAATATCATACATGTTTGTGACATGTGTATTTATACGAAACTCTGCACTGGGCTTCCCTTAACAACAACATGGTTAGCTGTGTGTATGAGCTGCAAGATTTATCGAATCAAAATCACAAATTGAACAACTGCAATTATTTAAGTAACATAATTTCCTCTGCTTCCTTCCACAATTTGTTAGATCATATTTCATCAGTTTTTGAACCATAGACAGACAAAAACAAGTTGTGAAGAGGTTTTATATCTATGTATTATGACTATTTGTTATCTATAAATAACTACCTGTAATCGATTATCAAATTGCATCCGTAATCTAATTACATTCACCTTGGTCAAGGATTATGCATGGGCCAATGATAAAGAAATCTATGTTATTCACCATTCATCCAGCTAATCAGACATCAAGCGTCTTAAACCTGTGCAATATTAAGTAAGAACAATATGTGTGGGATCAGTGAAATCAACTGTAAATAATACTTAAATTTACCTAAAGCTAATTTCCCCCTAATTGAGGCATGGGGTTTTTGTTTTGTCAGAGGATTTTGGGCCAAATGGGGTCAGATTCCCGTGGATCTCCTGGGATAAGAGCCCAGGCTGAAGTCACTCTGTGCCCGGAGATCCCAGCAGTCCACGGCTCCTAATCCCTGTCATTAAGTCCAGTAGACAGAGAAAACTATCGCGCAGCAGCCGTCTCCTTATCATCAACCCTGTCCGTTTGTGCTGCTTTCTTCCTCACATCCTCTCTGTCATTAGTCTCTTCTTTATTTTTCCCCAAGTGTTAATGTTTCCTACTTACTCTGCAGGCTTTCCTTCCTGGTTTTGCCTCCAAGGAGGAAGGTGAGACGTCATTAAGCTTGACTTTTTCACCTGCACATGTCATAAAAATAAGCAGTTTGTTACTGGCAGAAACATGACTAAAAGTGAGCAATGTTTATTTTAAATCTTATCACCGTTTAGATTGGTTCACCAAAAAAATATGAATACAACGGTATGCGAACACATGGTGCAATAAAATAAAATCTTGTTTTCTCTCTGGACATTCAAAACAGACCCCAGCTATAAACAAGTCAGATCATCTCAGATGGGTTCTGACAAACTGTCCTATTATAGCACATCCTGTGGTGCTGTTTTGTCCATTGACACACGCTCTGTTGTGGCTCAAGAATGGGTGAGGTGGTGGTCCAGGGTCTCGAGAAGAGAGAGGGGAAACACCTTGTGACCCTATGTTCCTGAGAGGCTCCTTGTGGTACTATAGGAGGGGCCCATTCAGATGTTTCAGAATAAGTGAGCTTTGCTTAGAACAGACGACTTTGCTCTTACAGAGACTACATGTTATATGAAAAGGAGCTAATCACAACGCTGCAGACATGCAATATTCAGATAGGCTGATGTTTGATGAGATAGTGCGCCAATAAGCAAACTTCTCAGCAGGACCAGTGCCCTTACTCTACAGGGGGTGGCACTGGCTCCCTGGCACTTGAGTGTGACATTGTAAGACAGGGCAAAGAAGCCACTTCAACAACAACAATGCAATGGGTGCAAAATGGCCCATGCCATATTATTATAATTTTGATCAATACAACAGTCAAAATGTGACTATCAATATGTTTGTTCAATATTAAATACCTGAAAAAAGGCCAGCCTTCTTTAAGTGGATTCAAGTAACACCATACTGCGATCAAGGCCCCCTGCTGAAGCCAGGCCCAGGTGCCTGATTTCAGCTTGATTTGTGAAACTTTGGGTCTGCTGCGTTGGTTATATTTGTGTTCTATGCTGTTAACCATTCTACACTTCAAACAAGGGTGGCTAATCTCCCCCAGTTTTGTCCTAAATCAATTTGGGCCAGACTTGATTGTAGACAAAGTGGCCTACATGCAAAGATGCACATCGCACACCACTTCTAAACACAACGAAAATAAGGAGAATTTAAGATGATATCACCCAAAACGTTGTTGCATTGCAGTTTGTCCAGAAGTGAAACTTGTTAAGGGTAGCATGGAGACAGAAGGAGCCATATCTTTGGTGGCGGGGTCATTACAGCAACAGATCAAAAGTAAGATGTGGCCCCAGTCCTGGGAAACTCAACCTAAAAGCAGCTGGGAAAAAACAACAGTAGATTATTATGGAGTGTAATTCTTTAAAAGTGAGATCCAGTAGCTAGCCAATGTTAATTTATAAAGTACTGTATAAGTGCTAACCATTATTGCCTACTTATGAGGATTGCTTTGCATTTTCTAATTGATATATTTTGTGAATCTTCAAGAAGATATACAATTTGTATTTTATATATGACTTTTACATTTTTATCTATTGTTAAATTTGATGGGTAAATTTTGCATAAAAAATACCCAGCCATTGTTGTTGTGCAAAATACTATTAATTCCTAGGGCTGAAAATATCCTTTAAAATTAATTAATCCAGCAATTATTCTTATTAAACAAATGGAAAAGCAGGTATGATGTTTTATGTCAGTTTGACCCCAGTTTGAAGTAAAGCCACCAGAGAACACTTTTTTCAGAACATATACGGTAATATTTTTCATGCAATTCCTCTACTGAGTTGATATATAATTTCTCAACAAATACATGTGTTGAAATGTGTATAAATAGCCGTTAGCAATTGATTGATCACTAATATAGTTGTTGATTTAATAAACTATTAAATAAATGTATCAATCATTACAGCTGTTCAAATGACTAAATACTGACAAAATTAAGCCACATGACACAAATGACTTGTCACTGTGGTAAGAAATAAATATCAACTGGTAATATCAATATCAGTAGTTTATTTAATAATCCCTAAAATCACCCAATACACTGTGAACACATATTTTGACAAGAAAGTGAGTGATTTCTCACTTAATTGCTTTTATCTTTCACCATATACATATGATGATTAACATGTGAGGAGGAACCCTGTTTTGGTGCTGTTTTCTGACCATCTGTTTCTTATCTACGTCTTTAATTTTTAAAATTTGCAAATGTATTTGTGTAAGGGATAGCGGTTCGAGGAGCAGCAGGCGGTCAATCCCCTCCTTGGGGAATATGGCAGCACTGGGACCCACCTGGTGTGTGTTATCAGAGAAGATGAGCATGTGATAGCACAGGCTATTTAAACTATTTAATTTTTAAATATAAAAAAAAACACTTTTTAATGGAGTCTTGAACAAGTTCAGATCAGCATAAAATATTGGCCAGGGAACATTGGGAAATATCATTTATCTTTTATCAATCTCATCAAGTGACACCAATTTGGCTTTATACCATGGATGTGCTTTATACCCATACAAGAAAAAAAACATTCTTAACTCCATTGGGCCACATGCAGCCATCAAACCCAGACCTAGAGGTAAACACATGAGTAAAATAGCAGTAAATCATGAAATAATACTTTTTATTTAGATTAAGATTCAGAGATCCTTTATCCGTCCCCCTACTGCCAATTTTCTGCTCCCAATCATGGTGAAGCCTGTTCATTTAAAGTCAATGGAACATGTTTCTGTCTAATAAAAAACATACAACAAGTCACAAAACGGTGTCAAAGGTGTTTTCTTTTGGGTTTTGTTTGAGCTTCTCACGCCTGCCTCATCTTTTATCATTGAAATTGATCCCAACAAGTCAGGGGCCAAAGACTTCAATCTAATCTGGGCTCTCTATCTAATTAGACCCTTGATTGAAGATATGACAACATTTATAAGGTAAGTGCCGAAATACAGGCATCTTAAAAGTTCGTCCAAGTGTCTTATGCAATAATCTGTGCCAGAATGATCAACATGTGCGTTAACTTTAGCTGAACTAGCTAAGAGCGAACGGTGATTAGCGCTTCTCGATAGCCACATTATTGCAGCAATTCTAATGTAAAACATGAGCTCGTTATGTCCAGACCTGTCCCACTTACCCCTTTTTACCACTTGGTTGAAATCGCTTTAAAGCAATGTTGTTTTCTAGTTCATATGTGGGCCGTGCTCCCGAGTCCCGATGATAAGTTATGCTAAAAGCTAATAAACCATGGATCTATTGAAATAAACGCGCTAATAATTGTATGCTATAAACATGCTATGCTAACATGCCATTTTTTTATTATTATTATTTTTTATCTCCATCCCTTCTATAATAATACAAATAGGCTTTTAGATTTTAATTCGTCTATAAATATCATGTATAGTTTATAAATTAGATTCACAATTAAGGAATGCATTGTCAAGTTGAATTATTTTCATGTGTTGAGCTGCAGTAATGATTTGCTTTTGCTAATTAATGCCTAATTTTTTTTTAAAGATTGGCTTATGGTGACTGTAAGATTGGATATGGACAGGGCCTATTACAAGCAGAAATATTGTTGTGACAGTGGCACCTAAAACAATTATATTATGTTGTCTACTGTCTGGTCCCAACAGTTCTTCTTCTTCTGTTTAAGAAAAGTCATCTAAACATATGACAGAGACCAAAACAATACATGCATGAGAACTAGTGATATTTACCCAACTGTTTTGAGAGATTCTGAATAGTTAGATGGACTACATTAGTTATAGTTTAATTTTTCTGTTTGAAAGTTAGGATCTCACATGTACACAATGTCTGGTTTTGAACTGCAGAGTCCAGATAACATTAATTGCGATAATCGGAGTGCCCCATGCAGTTAGTTATGATGTAGGAGAGGAACGGGAGAGGGGTAGAAGGGCAGGGCTGGGGGAGTGGGTGGTTTTGTGGGGGGTCGTCCTGGGAGGGAACCAGGGGTGTGGAGGGCTGAGTTTAAAAGGCAGGCAGCGTCACTCTCACACACTTTATCTGCACTCCAGTTCAACAGCAGAAACCTCTGTGTCTCTGCCCTTGTGTTGAAGCTTGAATTTTCTCCGGGATCTCGTAAGGACATAACTTTATTTTAAAGACATTTTACACCACTGCACCGATCATGGAGCCAACCACTGCGGACTATGTTGATAATTATGAATACTACGATGACAATGAGACCATTTGTGACTTTTCTGAGTGGGAGCCCTCCTACTCTCTCATCCCTGTGCTCTACATGCTGATCTTCATCTTGGGCCTCTCGGGGAACGGAGTTGTCATGTTCACTGTCTGGAGGTCCAAATCCAAGCGTCGCGCTGCAGACATCTACATTGGCAACCTGGCTCTGGCTGACCTCACCTTTGTTGTGACCCTACCTCTCTGGGCAGTCTACACAGCGCTGGGCTACCACTGGCCATTTGGAGTGGCTCTTTGCAAAATCAGCAGCTATGTTGTTCTAGTCAACATGTACGCCAGCGTTTTCTGTCTCACCTGCCTCAGTTTTGACCGGTACCTTGCCATAGTGCATTCCTTATCCAGTAGCAGGCTGCGTTCGAGGGGCACTATGCTGGCATCTCTTGGAGCGATTTGGCTGCTGTCTGGCCTGTTGGCTCTGCCCACGTTACTGTTCCGCACCACTGTGACTGACCTGAACAGTAACAAAACCACCTGTGCCATGGACTTCAGTTTGGTCACCATGAACCAGAGACATGAGTCTTTTTGGATTGCTGGACTCTCTCTCTCATCCTCTGCACTGGGTTTTCTCCTGCCTTTCCTCGCCATGACAATTTTCTACTGTTTCATCGGCTGTACGGTGACCCGCCACTTCAATAACCTGCGCAAAGAGGACCAGAAGAAGAAGAGGCTGCTCAAGATCATCACCACTTTAGTTGTGGTCTTTGCCATCTGCTGGACACCGTTCCATGTGCTTAAAAGCATGGATGCTCTGTCCTACCTCAACCTGGCCCCCAGCTCCTGTGGTTTCCTACGCTTCTTGCTGCTGGCTCATCCATACGCTACCTGCCTGGCCTATGTCAACAGTTGCCTGAACCCCTTCCTGTATGCTTTTTTCGACTTGCGTTTCCGCTCCCAGTGCCTGTGCCTGCTCAACCTGAAGAAGGCAATGCATGGCCACATGAGCTCCATGTCATCTACACTCAGTGCCCAGACTCAGAAATCAGAGATCCAGTCTTTGGCCACAAAGGTCTAAAGGGACTAAACAGGTGGTGTTTGGCTGCGGGCCAGTCACAGTTCCCACCACTAGGACAGTGTCAAAACAGACTTATGTGTCCACTGATGATGACATAATGAACTCTGTGCTGCTCGCTGTCATGAATGAAGTTTCTCCTCTGCTAGATAGACAGCCGGAGCCCGCAGGTTGAGCTCCGCAGCAATTAAAGAAAAAGTTTATTTTTTTGTCTTGTTATACAAAGTTTATGAATTTGAACACACACTGATGTTGAGAGAATGTTACATGAACTATATTTCTGTTACACTGGATGAATTAGAAAGCTGTACAGTATTTTCATACCATAGCATTTTTTTGAATTTATTGATGTTTTATTTTGGAAGCACTTGTTAAATGTGTGAGCAAGGGGTCGCAAACAGTGTGACGTCTCCCTCAAAGCCTCTTGTTTGTGAAGTCGTGAAGGCAGAAGTCTGGGCTCAGGAGCAAACGGGCTGGAAGAGGTGGGAAGGTGTGACTGCTTAATTATATAGTTTGTGTAGAGGAGACGGGGGCTGACAAGCAGATGGTAGTTGACAAATGTTGGAATACAGGAATGGGGTGGGGGGCCTTGGGTGGAGGGTTTCGTGGTGCAGCTAAGGCACTAGAGGGACTACGGAACTGTATTACTGTTCCAATGTGATGTAAATATGTATATTTTAATGTAACTAACTGCTGTAATAAAATGTTCTATGAATACATTATTGTGTGTGATCAATTTTTCATATTGAAAAAGAAAGAAAGCCATTTTGAAAACATGTATTCAAAGAAGTTGATATCTCTTGGTTTCATGTCAGTCCTGTTCTGACAGTGATAAGTGTCTCCAGGCCTTTTGCATTTAGCTGACAGACTCATGACTAAATAGATGTGTAATCTCTATTGATTCACAGGCAGTATCCAGACTGTAACTGGATTATGCTAAGAGGCGGCCATCCTCAGAGTGTGTATTCAATGGGCGCTTGTGACATTCACCGGCTGAGGTAACTGTTTGATGACACATCTCTGAGCTTTTCAAATTCATCACCTGAACTCCAGCACCTATGGAGAGTAGAGAGTTTTAAGGAGTTTGGGTTTAGTCAAAATTAGAGGCATGTGGTGTGAAAGCCACTATAAACTTTCAAGCATGTTATAATTTCCTCATCATTAGCTGACTCAGAGTTTCTTTTCATTCTTGCATGTTTGAGTTTTCACCTATCTCTGATTCTCTGTACTCTGTTCCATGATCTGTTTTTATTATCAGGCAGTTTTTTGGTCTATAAAATCAATTTACAAAGACATGAAATATAATATGTACTTAATATCCAAAAACATATGATCTACCTTAACTGTACTGTCGCAGCATGCAGTACACTGTATCCACAACACAGCCAGTTCACAGCAGCATAAGGGCCATCATCAGTGAGTGACTCTTTTGAGACTTCCTTTGATTTGACAGTAATGAGCTCTGTTGGGCATAATCGCCGTTTAGAGATGGTAACTGCGGTGGGGGGAGTGGTGTAAGCTGCGTCTCCAAACAAGTTAATATTTGTCTTTACCGACAAGAGCCTGCAGTTTGCGCAGCAGAATGGGCGCGAAGATGAGTGCCAAAGAGAAACTGGGGGAGAGTCTGCTTTTATAACAACAAATCATAATCATGACTATTTATCTCTTAATTGAAGTAATGATTAAAGGTTCATTATACTGTCAAAATGGTAGCTTCACTTTCCTGTGCCTCACACCACATGCAAAAAGGCAGGAATGCGAAGCTATGATTTATCATGACTTTTGTGCAAGAGTTTATCTATCATGTGTTGGCCATCTCTGAAATCTCTAAATTAAAGACCAATGAGGCCTCACATATCATTCAACAGCTAAAACTCTGGCTTCAATTTACATTCACTGTCATTAAATGATTACTGAATGTATTACACAATTTATAAGTGAATATGTAACATCTTTAATAGCCATAAGGTTTCTGAACTCCCACTCAGGTTATTCTATCACTTTACAATGTACTTGTTCTATAGGTTTGTGGAAAACAGGGTGTAGCCATTCATGCATGCTTGACTGTCCCCGGCCTGTTGTTGGTATTGAGATAAACTGGGCTGACAGCTTGTCTCATATTGTTAGTTCACAAGTCCATTGTGAAATAACTCACCCAGAATACCAGCTGACCAAAGCACCGGGGGTTCGCAGTGAGAACGCTCTGCCGTATGGTCCAAAACAACAGTACAATGCACATGTACTTGATTCGTGTGTGGCCCACCTGACCTGTTTGTGCGTCTGGGTATGTGAGAGCGAGGGTTCACAGTTTTCTGAAGGGACATGAACCATGACAAACAGCTCCTTCTGAACTTTTTCTTTTGTCAAGTCTCAAAAGTCTAAAAAACATATCGATCATGATCTCATAACATGATGTTCAAGTTCAACCCTGTCTTCCACAGCTGTCGATGTTACTCAGAACAACAAATACTACTTTGTATACAGTCATCTCAAAGCCTGTGGTCCATTGTCAAGTCCACCACCTCCATCTGTGAACTGCCCTTACAACTTAAAGAAAAGGACACAATAAAAATTAAAAAGACACAATGAAAAAAAAAGCAAAGGAGTGAAGAAAGACCAAATCATTACATAAATAAGAAATAATAAAAGATCAAGGCATGCTGGAGTGAAATTTACAAAAGGATCAGTCTAGGACAGCTGCATCTTACATGAATAATTCAAACAACAGCTTGTGTGTGGAAACCTTTCATGATGTGTCAAGATTATGTTAGATTATTTTGATTATTCTAACAGAATCATTCCACAATTCCACTAAAATGCTGATTGTGTGGTTGGAACCATTTTAGCCCATGGTCAATAATATCCATTACATGTATAGTCTCTGAGAAAGGCAACCGCAATCTTAGGCACTCGTGACACTCAGTTAATTTAGCAGTTTTTGAAGTTCAAACAAAGTAAGACAAAGCGTTTTATATATCTGTGGGTATCAATGTGCATAAGAACAGAGATGTCATCACTTGAGAGTTTAATGAATCCTTCTTTAGATTGGTTAGCAATGTGGGTAATAACACATACATTCAGTTCTTGAGATAATAATGTTTCAGCAGAAATATGCAGGTCTGATTCTACAACTCTTTGTGCTCCTTGGGCTGTTTAAATTCCACTGGTATATTTCAGGTTAATTTAATAAAGTCACTATCTTCATCCCACTATAATTTGAAATGAAATCCATATTACAATAGTGAAAATAGCACAAATGTCTATTGTTCCAATGAGACACAACTTATAAGTAGTGGACACAGGTGGTTGCAGGCCATGTTGTCGTCGCTGTGAGCTGCTGTTCCCAAATGGGACAGGGGTAAAAAGAGGTGGGGCAGCTGAACCAAAACACAAGTGCTCTGCTGCCTTCTGCTCTCCATCCCACCCAAGCAGACAGCAGAGCAAAAACAACTGCAGCCGTCCAGAGTCCGTGTGTGTATTATATGAGTTGTCTTTGCGACAGGTGGACCGGACTACAGAGAAAGTAGGGTTAGTGATGACAGGCTGCGGAATGTGTCAGATCTCTGTTTACATACAGGGCAGAGCTCGTGGCCATAATCACCATAAACAAAGCTTTTACTAAAGAGGTATGTATCACAAAGGAAGCTGTTAGGGAAAGTATACTTTTAGGCAATTCACCTAATAGTCGCATTTGCAAGGGGAGCAAGCTGAAGCTGGACTAACAGGAGCAGCGCTTTTTCAGTTTCAGTTCAAGTCTCTGTCAGAGTAGGAGGGATTTAAATTGTAGAAGAAATACAGAAATACATGTAAAGGAATGTCGAACCATGTCATGTTTCTTTAGGATTGGAACAAAATAGTTCAGAATTTGAATACTGTTTCCATGTTTTGGTGACAGCTATGTTTCACTTGTGTCTCCTTCTCTGACTTGTAGATCACCTCTTGAGTCACTTGAGCATGCTTGCTTTTTACCATCAAACTGCATCTCAACCATTTGGTAAAGGCCTATAAAAACTTGGGTTTAAAAAAACGAAACATGAAAACAACTTGGGTTAAAGGAACTATTTTAGTAATCAATTTCTCGTTTATTAATATATACATTAATATATATTAATAAACGGTTATTAATTATATAATATATCATTCATTTGATGTCTCAAATTAATGATTTATCTTAATCTGGGTCAGATTGAGATATAGTCCGACCAGAAACGTCCTCAAACTTCTAATTTTTCTTAGCACAGATCTGCCCCATCTCGGAAAGTTACAGTAATTCTTGTTGTCTTTTCACAAACATGACGTGGAAACCCATACGTTGTGAACTATTATACACTTATTTATAATCACAATGCAGTAGTCGTCTTTCTTTTTTATCTTTAACATATTTATGTGTCCAACTTGTTTTATGGTTGTAGAGTTTGTAGAATGAAAACAGGAAAAGACACTTTTTGTCAAGTGTGGATGGCATTTGGCCCCCTGTGAGTGTTGTGTCTGTGTGTGGCCGGCTGCTGACCGTGGATGTGTGTGGCACTTCAGTTTGTGTTTTGTGTGTTTTCTTCTTGTTGTCTTTTGTCACCTTTTCTGTCTGCGGATGTTGTTCTTTAGGCAATAACTCCCATTATTCAGGACTAAGTACATAGCGTTGATGGCTCATTCATGTTTATTTTAAGACTCTTCAGTCACTCTTCTTTGCACACCAAAGCAACCTGGACTTTAGTCTATACACTGAAAGGCTTGGAATTAAAGCTACAGGTGAAAGGAAAATTCAAATATTGTTCAAAGCTTAATTTATTTCTGTCTATATGATATAAACTCCACACACACAAAGTGACATGTCAAGCCTTTGTTTGTGCTCACAGTCTATTTTCAAATTATTGAAATGTGATGTTTTATTTGGAGTTTTTACAAGCTGTGTCTGTGAGGCATATTTATCAACATTATACCCCATAAATGCTTGATGTAACTCACTTTGCATGTAATCAGTATGTTTTTTTGTTTGTTTCAAATTTGTAAATCACAGAAGTGAATGGACTTTTGAACAATATTCTAATTTTCTGAGTTCCACCTGTGCGATAAAAAATTACCTTCCTTCATTTCTTTTTTCATGTTCTTTTTTATTGGTCCCTTAATTTTAACGTAGTGCAATGACGGTATGTGGCATAAACACAAGAGGGATAGACAGCTTTGAGGTGAGAAACTGCCTGGAGGATTAGGCGCACTCCGTACAGTTAATAACATAAAGAGTCTAAGACGTTCTAGCTATGATCCCATCACTCGTCTAGACAGCAGACCTCCTCAGGATCCCAAACAAATCCACTGAATAACAACATGGAAGTCAACCTTTTTTTAATGCAACCAAAGCCATTTCTCTTTATCTCTTTGTCTGTTGTCTTTTTTTTGTCCATTTCACTTTTTTGGGAATCTTAAACTAAATTGTGATGCAAAGTCTAAAATTTACAGCACACCTATTCGCAACGTTATCATTTTCATGGTTACAGAGGTTAAAGAAAAAAAAGTTCTTGTCATTCGACTACTGACTACTTTAAGTTAATTATAGTCCACGCATACTTGAATGCCGGTTGAACTTCCAGTTCCATAATGTGATAAGAATCCAGCTTTGAGCGGTGGTGTCTTCTGTAACTGAAGAAGATGACAAAGTCTGGGATCGCGTCTTACATTCAGACAGAAGACATGTTTTATTGTCGATGGTAGAGACAGCACGAACAAAGCACACGATCACAGATACAATAGAATGCAAGTGTATTATACAGAGCGGAGGCATGGAGACCTCCAATCAGCAGCTTCCACAGTGCCATGTAGCTTGGCCTTCAGATAGACAAAACAAGGGAAAAGTACAGGCTTCTGCACATTGATAGAATGATGAGTTTAACTTTAACAAAAGTTGCTTCAAAGTGTTATGAAATCTCACATGTAACAATAGCTCTTGGCCGTGTTTTAGGTTAATATGTCAGTATTAGATAGCAATATGGCCTATGTGCAGGACTGTACTGTCTGCTAAATACTGACAAATAGATAAATAGTGGTTGTTGTTGATGGAAACGTTCATGTTGCAAATAAGTGTATTCACAATGTTACACAACAGACATCCAATCAAAATTCTTTAAAAAGAATTGTCCATACCCCAACCGTCTCCTGCATTGAAGATTGTCTGCACCACACACTACCTTCATTCTTAAGCCAGACCATATTCAAGGTCATGGGGAATATTAACCGAATCATTATCAAATAGCCCCCTTAAGGCCTCTAGTAATGTGTTATTACAAGTATTCGGTAACCATGGCCCACAGAGTAACTACACAGCTTCCCAATACACAAGAGTTGGGCCGGTCTTATCAGTTCAGTCTGGTTTTACCTGGAAGTGGCTCAGGTCTTACAAAAGCATTGACACCTACACATGAGATCTGTATTTTCATGGTAATAGTGTTATCTTTTAGCACTTTTAAGCAGTGATTAGGAAAGAGGAGTTTCAAATGAGCTTCTCCTACTTCTCCACTTTTGTCCAACACCCAATGGCATTGATATTTATTATATCAGCAGAAGAGCCAGTCAGGTGAGGTATTTGGCAAATGCATGTTATAGCACCTTAAATGAGGTGATGTTAGTTAAATCAATGTTAGTGATGTTAGTTAAATCAATGTTTTAAATTCATATGAATTAATTAATATATGCTATATTATATCTTTATTACATATCTATTGGTGCAGGGGCAGATGCTGAGCTGTTGTCTTCTATAAAGCCAAGTCCATGCTGAAAAATTTTATTTTTACCCACATAAAATGTCTTCTGCTGTGACACTACCCTAGACCTCCGCATCTTTTGTAATTTTCTTAATTCTTTCACTAGTTTTAACATGCATTTATTTTTGCCTTCTGTCACATCAGCTTTTTCTGACAGAAAAGTGAACAAGAGGACCACCCTCACCCAGCCAATCAGCTCTCAGCCCAAAACACCAAATAGTGACTCGCAGAGCTCCTTATTAGCATGCAACATGTTTTCTACTAAGATGAAGACAGTATATTTTGGTCTGATGTGTTTATAGACTTTTTCTTTTGCATGAATCTTGCTTTTGGATCAAACAAAATGTACTTTTTATGAATACAAAGCTTTGGTAATGCTGATTTATTTTGATTATTATTTATGAATGACACTACAACAAGGCACAGGTACCTACAGAAACTAAGGCAAATTAAATTGATGTTAGGTAAATCTAGACACTTGTGATGCATGTTAACAAGAGTGTGTTGGTGATCGTTAGGCGGGAGATGCTGCTTCCGTGGACAGCGCGGTTTGGCCAGACCTGAATGTGCTGGACTCTCCCCTCCGGATGCACTCGTTCAGGCCCCATCAGCGTCCAGGCACAAAGGGCCTCTTCACGCCTTCTCTATCCAGTCCATTGTGGAGGCTCTGACTTCGATGCGATGGTCGGCTAAATGCCTCTCCTGTCACTGCGGCTCCTGTGCCAGTTCAGCTGCTGATGTTCAGGTGCCCAGGTTCACACTTTGTATGGATCACATGGTTAAAAACTGATTTGTCTGTTCTCTCGTTTACAACATCTTCACCATTATCGTATGAGGACTTTATAATACCATTTATTTATTCCACATAGTCCACATAAAACATCCCCTAACGATTCTATGATTGCCTGAGAATACAGTTATTAGCCATATAAATATTTTAGATTATTAATGTTTTTTGTTGTTGTGTGGTTCTGTTTTGGCTGCAGAGCTGCGAGCCATCTTCAGAACTGTCACCTGCTTTTCTGGCGTGACTTGAGCGACCTTGATGACCTGACCTGGTTGCTGGGACTGACCCTGCCCCCTCTCGCTCGATGATCTATGAAGGAGGATGTCCCATGTGTGAAACAGGAGGAAGGCTCCCTCATCTCGGTTGATTTCAATAGCCTCATCAATCCAGCGTTTGTATTTATAGTTTTCAGATCCGATGACCCGAGCCCCATCCCAATTCGTAATGTGATTATTTCTCAGTGATCTGAAAATGGCTGATTTGAGGTTTTCCTGATTTGCTTGTTCCTTCCTGGCTGTTGTGAGTCTCCCTGTAGTCTCCTTTTCACTCTATTCTCGATCCTTTTTTCATCTGTGGAATGCTCGTCCCATTTCTCCAATGTATGATATTTGACATTACTTGTATTAGATTTCATATACTGTGTTGCACTTTTTTCTGGTGGTAAAGAGTAATTTGACTGTGCTAACTCTTGTTGAAGTTTGCTGTAAGGTTTGACTGCTGTGTCGATTATTGCGTGGCAAGGCGGGTGACAGTTCTGAAGATGGTTTGCAGTTCTGCAGCCAAACAGTAATTATTACTTCTCTTTCAAAAACACCAAAAAATGTTTTAAATCAACAAGACAAAAATAACCCTTTTCAATTATTAGCAGCAGTGAATAGAAAGTCTAAAAGTCTAAATTGCTTAAATGAAAATAGGGGCTTTCCAAAAGACAACAGAAACCCTGTTTATGTTAAAACACTTGTTCTCAAATGTGTTTTTCAAACTCAGGCTCTCAGAGGCAGTGTATTTTTGCATGTTTTATTGAAACAGTTCCAGTCAATAATAAAGAGCATATTTATATTGTACAATATTAAATGTTCTCCACGATGTTACAGAACAAAGGCAGCTTTAGATTGATAGCAGACAAATGAACACAACAAACTGCACGCCTGTAGTCCTTATTAAGCATGATGGACTTACTGATTCCCTATGTTTTTGCACTTCCTCTGTTTGACCACTGGGGGGCAGACTTGACCAGCTTGTCCAGAGTTGAAGTTGGCTAAAAATGTGATCAAACCTTTTGGTGGAAAAATGCTATCTGCCAGTTCACACAAGAAAAGACTATCATGAAGGAATACAGTTCACAGATGACTTTACAGGTCAGTTCTGGGATGAGGTTATTACATTATGTTTTTCGGACTGTAACTGAGATATGAATGAAATTTGAAGGAAATATACAAGAATATTGCTACAGTGTAGAACAAAAAAAGAAAAAAACATTTACATAGGGCATTTGGAGAAAAAAAATGAGACATATTAGTTTATGACTAATTTATGAAAGCTATTTTAAACTAATAATTATTATGAGAATAAACATCACGATTCTGACATCTGATACAATGCAAACAAACATTGCCCTTCAGTGGGGCAGTGGTCCCCAAAATGTGGGTTTGGACTCTGGCTAAACTGTAGTATCTTTGAAAGGTTTTGATTTTTGTGATTATTTCAAAAATCTATTTACTACATTTTTTGATTAATGTAGTCAATATACAGTACTCAAACAAGCAACATTATAGTAAACGCACAATGGTGACGCACACTTATGTGACAATAATATAACATTAAGTTGGCTTACATTCATGCCCTTAAGTTGTAGTTGAAATTTCACTTTGACAGTTGATGTTTTTATAATCCAAATGAACCCCAAGGGCAATGCACAAATGGGAAGTGACAGAGGTGTGGCTCCATCTGCTGGTGAAGACTAGTGTCAACCACAGATAAAGTTTTATTTACAGTAGTTTATAGTAGCAGGATGAACAATCATAAGAAATTATATTGAGACAATTATGCATGATTGCCATGAATCTCTTTTTCATAGTTACTGTAGTCTCTTGTCTCAGACTTAACTGTGACTCAGTTTACGGTTTTAGTTTTGGCCTGAGCAGGTCTTTTTGGCTGCCGTGGTGCTGCTGGGGGAAGAGGCCTGCCACATTGACTGGGCTTTGCTGTTGTTGATCTGAGGATGTTGTCTCGACCCAGTCGGACTTTTGAAGAGGCCAGAGATTCAGATTTGGCTCTTGGACACACAATGACAGGAGTGCATGTTTTAGGGATGATAGTGGTCATGGTCCGGGTCAGCACCCTCCCTCGTCTCAAAGCCACTGGAGGAACTGCTGAAGAGGGAAGCTTCTTTTCTGGACCTACTTTTGTTTGTTCCTTTGGACTTGAGCTCACATTTATATCCTTCAACATCTTACTCTCCAACTCCTTAATAGCTTGATCAGTGTAAACTTGCATTTCATTTCTTAGCTGCAATATTTGAGCTTCAAACTCCTCCTTCAGTGCCTTTTTACTGGCCTCAAGTTTCCTTTCCAAAGTGGCACACTCATCTTCCTCCTCCCTCTGATTGTTCCTCTCATCTTGTCTCTCCTCTTCACTGATGTCATTCTCAACATCCCCAGTCACTTCTTTCTCCCAGACCTTTTGAACAAGTGCTAGTATGTTGCTTTTAGGAGTCCTCGCACCACCCTGTGATCTTATCTGCTTACGTACCTGCTGCAAAATAGACTGAATCTTGACTTGGGTCTCACTCTGCTCCTTGTTTTCTTCCTCCAGACTTGACTCCTCTGTCTGATCGCTGATCGTTGCCTTGTCCTGGAGCGGTTCATGCTCTTCTCCATTGAGCAGGATTTGAGGCTTGGGTGACATCAAGTCACTCATTCTTGTGTCTGTTCCTGATGCTGTGTGTGGCGCTGGTCAAATGTGACTTATGCTTGTGTGTGTAAAGCCCTCCTGAGTCTGCTGTCTTCCCTTGGGATGTATGATGCACCATGAGGATAGTATAGTGTTATCATAACAACATAATCTCCTGCATCTAACGCTTTTAGAAAATATATCAACAGAAAAGGTTGGTTCTTTTTGCACAAGCTTGTTGCCACAGAAATGTCCCTTTTAATATAATCCACAGTATGGTGTGAAACAGATATATATCATAGGAAACGCTCCATTTTTTAAATTTTTATTTATTTAATTCTCGAGACATTCTAAATTTATTTGCATTTCATCCAATATTGGACTCATGCAAGACAATTAAAGTTAAATAACACTTTACTAATCCAAAAGTTCATCATTGGGTTGTGATTGTGTTAAGAGAGAGGAACTATATTTTGTATTACATAGTTTATTTGTTGTGATTTGAGAGTTAGGAAGCTCAGCCCTAAGTCCAGGTCTAGAGATCAAAAGTTTGAAATATTCCTTGTAATTACGATACCTATTATTATTGAATTATACAACCAAGTAGCTTTTCAAGCGGAGCGCAGTTGTGACTTGTGCTCCATGACAACTATTCGTCCCCCGAGGTCTGTCTGAAAAACAAAGGGTTGCTCTGGGACTTCTCCTCTGTCTCTGTCATACACTTGTCTATCACTGGAATTTAGTGCATGTCATGTGTAGAGAATCAAATCATCTTTAACTTTGTGTTTCCCACTGGGAATGCTAAAACTATAGTGGACAAATGTGGACACTTTTAAGGACAAATTAGAAGAATTAGCGAATGTTATGAATGACCAAAAGTCACTGTTAATATGTGGAGACGTTAATATCAGATTTTTTGGACACAGTAGAGGCTTTTATCCCTTGATTACAAAGCCAAGCCGAATAACAAGAAACAGTGCAACGCTTATTCATAATATAGTCACAAATGTTTTGGAAAAGCACAGAAATAGTGGTTTAATTATTAATGATATTATGGACCATCTACAAGTATACACGTTACTAAATTATCAAATACCTAAGAAGAAAGCCAATAAATGTCTAGTCTATAAAAGAAAAAGAAATAATGTAACCATAAATGCCTTCAGAAATGATCTATTAAACCAAAATTGGAATGGAGTATTTTCAAAGGAGGTGAACACTCCCATGTTGAACTGTATACAGACATAATGATACGCCTTGGATAACAAAAAAAATAAAGAATGAAACACTATTATAATTATGCGTTGTCAAAAAGTAAAAACAACATCAGAGCTACATGGAAAATTCTGAAGAAGGTAATTGGAAATAGAAAAGATTTTCCTAACTACTTTATAAGGGACAGCCATGTAATTCAAAACAAGGGGGCTACGGTTGATGAATAAAATGATTTTTTTGTATACATTGGACCAACTTTAGCACAAAATTAAAGACTCAGGTGTCAGCAAATTGGAAAATAAAGTGATGCAATCTAATATGTTCTTGTCTGAAGTTACTGTAAGTGAAATATTAACAGCAGTACATACAAAATCAGACGTAAACTGATGGAATAGATATAATAAAAGACACAGATAGATTGCATAATTAAACCATTATATTACATAATTAACTTTCATTTAAATCAGGTATTTTCCCAGACAGAATGAAAATGGCTAAGGTTTTTCCAGTCTTTAAAAGTGGTGACAAGCATAACATTAATAACTACAGACCAATACCCCTACTATCTCAATTTTCTAAAGTGCTAGAAAAAATGTTTGCTATAAAGTTGGATAGCTACATTGATAAAAAATAAATTACTAGCGGACAATCAGTATTGGTTTTGTTCAAATCATTCTACAGGATTGGCTCAAATGAAAAGAAATCTCAATAGCAATAGACAATAAAAAATACACAATTGGGGTCTTTGCTGATTAAAAAAAGCATTCGATACCATAAACCATTCCATACTTACGTTGAAACGGCAGTCTTATGGCTCAAGGAGCACAGCCCTGAACTGGCTGGCTAGCTACTTATAAAACAGACTACAGAATGGTCAATTTGGGGAAAACAGGTCAAATGTCATGAATATTGAGTGTGGACTGCCGCAAGGCTCTATTCTAGGACCAAAACTATTCATTTGTATATAAATGATATTTGTGAGGTTTCCAACTTAATGCAATTTGTCCTTTTTGCAGACGATACAAACATTTTGTTCAGGAGATAATCTGACAAAATTGTCAGAGGAAATAAATAATGAAATGGTAAAACTTATAGTGTGGTTTGGTCAAAATAAACTATCACTAAATTTGGCTAAAACTAAATACATGGTATTCAGTAATAAAAGGAAACTTCAAATATTGACAAGGTAAATATAGAGAGTGTCTGAACTTCGATTTCTGGGCGTAATTTTTCACACAACTCCACTATTCCTGAAATCAAGGTTATAAAAACTAAAACATTTTATAGATTTACATACTCTATTTGTTATGTTTGAAGCAAGAATTCAAGCTCTACCAGAAGATGTACTACAGTTTTTGTTTGTACTTCAGAGGACATCAGTCACAGGAGGAGATATGACTTCAAGCACAAAGTAGCAAGAACTACTTCAAAACAAATGTGCTTTTCTGTTGCAGGTGTAAAAATGTAGAATTCACAAGAAAACAAGTTGAAAGCTTCTTCTCTGCTCTTTTCCAATCATGGAAATATATCATGTGAATGTTTAATGTATATTATGTTATGAAGATGAGAAGTGCAACAGTATTTTGCTGTTGTTTCTATTGACTCAATGTCCCAATAATTAATTCAGAGTGGTAATTATTTAGAACAATAAATGTACATCTTTTTTTTTTCCGTAAAATTTGAAAATCTGAAATGGAAAAAAACCAATAACAACATGTTTTGTTATGGCTTAAGGTCACTGGGACTTTCATTGAAATAATTGTTCAAATAAAAGTTTAGTGACATAAAAAAAAGAAAAAAATAGACTATAAATGTATACTATACTTTAAAAAGCAGCTATTTGAATAAACTATAAAATAAAAGGAAATAAAAACAGACAGCCAACTAAATACACAGAGTTCTGTAAATACACAAACAAATGACCTTTGTTTGTTTGCTTGGTTGCAAAATAAGTTAACTGAACAAAAACCCACATTTCAAAGTAATTTTAGTATTTTTTGTAAAACCATTAATATAAAACAAATCTAAATGAAAAGATTTTTTAATCTTTTTTTTGTGATAATCTCTTAATTTTTCAATATTTGTCGCTGTAGCTGCAGTGAGTGGGGCAGGCGAGGAGGTGCGTGGGGAGGAGGGGGCTTTAGCACCAGATGGACCAATGGGAGAATTGTTGAGTGAGCCTCCTCTTGCCACTAAACACTAACATATGGGCACTGTTCTTTCTAGAATATATGCTGCATAACTAAAACTGTCGGAAATATACAGTTTTTTTTACCACATTTGTTCCAAAAAACATTAGATTTTTCTAAAACATTGTATCCAATGCCTAGCTTGCCCTGGACCACACTTTAGGAAGTGCTATAGAAAAAAATAAAACTTTAATACATGATTTGCTCATTTAAGGAAATCCCAACTATTAATGACTAATTTCTGTTTTGTTGAAGCAGTAAAAAAAAAAAAAAGTACATATGTTTTTTCATATGTATTTGATCACTGTTCAAAAATGCATCTTTTCGGCCCCACTCTGCTCCTCGTCACTGAGCAGGGGGCGTGGAAAACCTTCATAGCAGCTTTAAAGTTCCTGGGTTTTTGCTAAAACCTTCTGCACTGTCAAGAGGTGTCATCGAGGAACAAAATGGTAAGTAAGAGAAATGCATTTGCATGTATTAATGTGATGTTTTTATTTGTTTGATGACAACGTGGAATCGTTTAACGCTGCTCTCTGATTACAGACCACATACACAGACAAAGGAGAAAAGGTAACAACAAATTTACAAAAATATGTAATACAGATTTATTTATCTAGATTTTCATTTTTAGCATGAACAAGGAAAGTTCCTCTGCTTTGACCATCTAACCTTCTGGGTTGGAAATGCCAAACAGGTAAGATAATTACTTTTAATTTTCTGGATTAAAGTTTAAGATTTTTGAGTTTTCCATAAACTGAGCTTGACTATTGGCTCTCTGGAGGGGAGGAGAGATGCAGCTTTACTTAACTGCTTTATCATTACATCGCCAGCAGGTGACGCTATTGTGTTTTGTCTTCTTTTCACTGTTGCTTTTTTGTTGTCAGGCTGCATCATATTATTGTAACAAATTGGGGTTCGAGCCGTTGGCGTACAAGGGTCTGGAGACTGGCAGCCGGGATGTTGTTTCCCATGTTGTCCGACAAGGAAGGGTAAAACCAAACATTTAATTAAGGAACTATCATTTGTTTTGGAGAAAATGTATAATAAAATGTGATCCTGCAGATCATTTATGTCTTCTCATCAGCCCTTAATCCTGGAAACAAAGGTAAAGTATGACATTACTAAAGTTTGAGTACATTGAATAAAATAGCATGTAACAACAACAAAACATGAGTTACCTCACATATTATCATTATTATTATACATGTATTATAGTTGTAAGGATTTTCTTCTGTCAACACTAAAATATTAACACGGACAAGTCTTTTATAATGCTAAAACGTTTACATTAATTAAACTTTTTTGACAATGTTTTATTTGTTGATCTCAATTTAACGTATTCCAAAATCTTCAGAGATGGGGGAGCATTTGGTGAAGCATGGAGATGGAGTGAAGGACATTGCATTCACAGTGGAGGACTGTGACTTTCTGGTGCAGGTGCAGGACATTCAAATATCTATGTTTTATTTTTATTTTTATTTTTTAGTTAACATCTACATACTTGTTTTTTTAAATGCAGAAAGCCCGGGAACGTGGTGCAGTAATAATAAAGGAGTCGCATGTCTCAGAGGATAAGTTTGGGAAAGTAAAAATGGCTGTGCTTCAAACGGTAAGAAATTATTTGTTTAAGATACTGTGCTAAAGAGAACAATGCAGAGGCTGAAAGTGGTATAGGCGGCTTGCATTCATGTGATAATGTTCAAAAAGAAAATGTCCAATTGTTTTCCCAAATCATTATTTGATTTGAACCCACCATTATTCTTATTCCTGACTGTAGATAATATGTACTGACAAGGAAGATTTTTGGTTTCATGTGGATTGGCTCAGGAATTACAGTCAAATTAGCTAGGAGAATAGAAATCTAACTTTTGCTATAGTTACCCGGAACGATTGCTCAGCTGCCTCCACCACAATTTTAAACTATAGGCTCTTTGGAATGTTGTGATGTCACATTAATGCAACCTACGGACACATCTCCTGTTTAATCTTTCAGTATGGAGACACCACACATACTTTTGTGGAGAGAATGGGGTACAGTGGTTTATTTCTGCCGGGGTTTCAGCCACCTCTGTTCAAAGACCCTCTCTTAACCAAACTGTAAGTATTCTTTATGTTTAAAATCAAGCTTCAAACATATCTAACTTATGTATTGTGTGTTGCTATTATATCGTGCCACTCTTCTTGTAGGCCCGATGGTAAATTAAACTTTATAGATCATGTTGTGGGGAATCAACCGGATGATGAGATGGTCCCAATAGTGGAATGGTGAGACATATTGTTCGAGTTCTTTCTCTCATCTCTGCGATGTCACTGGTCCAGGCAGAGGTCAGGGGTGTCTAATGTGTGTCCATGGCTTGCGTAACTCTCCTTTGGCTGAAGCATCACCATGACTAAGCAGTTTATTTTGGCACGCCTCTCACATCTGGACTTGGTTTCAACACCATTACCATGTGAAGGGGAGGAAAACCAAATCTCCACATAAGCGAGCTGATTGGCCCAGAAATAGTCGCGGGGTGCAGCCTAGTTATAGATTTTTGAGTGATGCAGAGTGAATAACAGAAAACAGTTTATGTCAATGTAGTTATTTGATAGTGAGTATAGTTAAGATATGTATGTACTTAATACGATTTTGTGTTTTATTTTGATATGTACCCAAAATTAAGTCATATATGAAACTAGCGTAATACGTTTAAAATAAAAAAAATTATAGTCACAAAATGTCATGGCATGATTTTGAACCTGCCGATATTATAATAGATCCATGGTATTGAGCAGTTAGCAATTATTCAAATGCAACACTTGAAATTTGTTGGAGCTGAAGTTAAAATTGTATGTTTGGATATGAATTAGATATAAAGATAATAAGTTCTGGGTTAGAGTTGAGGTAAAGTTATAATTGTTTTACTGATCCACTCTATGATATTGTTTATCAAAAGGTATCAGAGGAACCTTCTCTTTCACCGCTTCTGGTCAGTGGATGACAAGCAGCTCCAGACAGAGTTCAGTGCCCTGAGATCTATTGTTGTGGCAAACTATGAAGAGACAGTCAAAATGCCCATCAATGAACCTGCTATGGGGAAGAGGAAGTCTCAAATCCAGGCATGTCGTCTTTTAAAAGTCTGCGATTGAAAGATTTAGCATCAGTAATATTATGATATTGTTTTTTCTCTTCAGGAATATGTGGAGTACTATGGAGGTGCTGGTGTTCAACATATAGCCATGAACACATCAGACATAATCACTGCAGTAAGTTGTAACCAAACTTTACACCAATACAACTACAATCATAATAAATAATGATAATAAATTCAATTTTACTCAGATTCAAAACCTAAAGGAGCGCGGGATGGAGTTCATGTCTGTTCCTGAAACCTACTATCAACAACTAAGGGAAAATTTGAAATTTTCCAAAGTTAAAATCCATGAAGATTTGGATGTTCTGCAGGTTTGACTATGACCTGTCTTACGTCTTAATATTGATTATTCACTATTCATTATTGTTTGTCTGCCATTTACAGAAGCTGAGGATTTTAGTGGATTTTGACGACAATGGCTACCTCCTCCAGATCTTTACAAAACCAGTTCAGGACCGTCCCACTGTGTTCTTAGAAGTCATTCAGAGACACAACCACCAGGTGGGTGTAATGCTCTATTTACAACAAAAGACTGCCCCTCCTCATAGACCCTTCAGTGTTAGGGAGGAATGACATTTTAAAATGCTGAATACTCAACTTTTCTTTCTAGAATATACCAGTGATGCTCTATAGACACAGCTTTTTGTCTTAATATTTTCCTTGCATCTTTCTAGGGATTTGGAGCTGGAAACTTCAAGTCACTTTTTGAAGCAATTGAGGCAGAGCAACATGCCAGAGGAAATCTGACAATTCTGACCCCCAATGGTGTAACCAAAGGCATGTAATTCCAAAAATATCTTTCCACATTGAAGCAGTCAATACCTGAGTGATTTAAAAGATCTGCATTTTATTTAAACATATTGTTTATTTTTTGAAAACCTTGTATTCGTTAGCATTTTTTTGTGTACACAACATAATATCAACTTTCTTTTATCACAATATAAACATGTAAATGCCTGATTCAAGTGATTCCTAAAAGAAAAAAAAAATTTAAACAATTTTATGTCTGTAACAAATGTGTACCTGTTGACAGCTTTGTTATGACTAATTTCATTGCTTCTTCAAGATGAAATGGTTTCCATTCATCAAGCTCAGTATTGCTGTCTTTTGATGTTTATAAATAAAATATATTTCTGTATAAAACACTGCCTTTTTCATCAGCGCTTTGGCGCTTTTAGGGGAACATTTACTTTATATCATACAGGTGTATTTGATATTTAGTTCAGAGATCCTTTGCATGTATCTGCTCCACATAAGCAAGGTATTTTTGTCTCCTCAATGGGGAATTTGTAGTCGTATGTAATCTCTTCATTTATGTTAATTTGTTGTTTCGAGTAAATGACAATCTTCTTCTGGGAGTCCACTGTAATGATTTTTGCATAGCAGTTTGGCTGAAAAAATAAAAAAAATGTAAATACAATAAATTATTATGAAATATATAATAATAATAACAATTGTGCCAATGCACATACATTGCAGCTGTGGTTGATAAATCTGGCCAAATTCCCACATTTAGTTGCATCAATAATAGTATCGTTATCCACTCGGAATAAATAGCTGCTTCCAATTCCCTCCTCTTCGTATCGTTGCTCCCGCATGTCAGCAATCACCTTGGGGGAAGACGAGACATACGCAGTGTTTACACGGATGTAGGCCTGGAAACTACCCAGAACAACCAGAAGGCCCCAACAGACTTTAGATCGTCAGCTCATCAAGTGAAAGCCAGACATGAGCTACTAACAAGCTGGAGTGTAACTCTGTTGCCTTAGTACACTGAGCATTAGAGAATGAATTACCTGTCTGATAACCTCCCCAACGTACTCGATCACCATCTCATCTGCTGCTATTGGCTCCATTGCAAACAGCCCCCATTCATGGATGTGACTCCGACAGAAACGAATCCTCTTCTTTCGAAACTAGCGTGAGAACATTAGGTAATACCAAAACTTGCGGACACATAAATATAACACATATTTTGTCACTTGAAATTAGAAAAATCTCAAAATCACCTTGAGCTGGTTCAAGGACACCAGCTCACTATCAGCGCTGAGGTTTGACAACAGCCGGCGTTGCTCAGACCTAAAGTCTGAAGTGACACGCAGCAGTGTGGGCAGCTGTACATGGGCACTGACACCCTGCTAAAAGATATAATATGTTCATCAAGACATCAGGTGACACTGTAACCTTCTAATATGTATTACCTGTGTGCCACTTGATGGACTTGCTGGTTTTAAATTGAGATATTTCATCTTCTCTTTCTGGCTGATCTTGTAGTAGCCTTCGCTGCGGGCCGAACCAGTCCTATGATACAAACATTGGGACCAATATCCATTTGAGGCCTCTGTGAGAACATTGGAGGGTGAATTCAAGTTAAGGATATCTAAATTACAGCTGACATTATCATTAAGAATACAAGCCATTGTCAATAAGTCATCTTTAAAGGATATAAGGATGAGGAATCCAGAGTGTGTCACTGAGCCACCCGAGGCCACTATCTTGCCTTTGTAGCCTTTCATAAGTGCATTTGAGCAGCTTTTCATCTTCTTCATCCAGTCCCTCTTTCCAAACACTATGAAGGATCCTCTTCTCCTCACAGTGTGTGCGCAACCTCTGAGTCCCCAGTGGTCGTACTCCAGTAAATCTGTTTAAGGATTTCTGCCACTGCTTGATTCTCCATTTCTTTTTCCTTAATTCTCTTTTACGTTGTAAGGACCTTTTAAACACTCTACAATGATCTTTATCCAAAAGACCAGGCACATTTTCAAGTCCTTGTAATGGCTTTGCTCTGACTTTTGGCCGATGACAGATGCCAAGGTCTGCTGAATCTGACCAATATTCTGAAAGGCTGGACGAAGACGAATAGGACAGTGGAGAGCGACTGATAAACAATGGATCTGTGATCTGTGTTTTTCTCTGATGAACTATAGACCTTCTTGGGAAAATAATGTCTCTTCCTGGAGTCTTTGGCACTTTCATGTATGCATCATTGCTTAAACAAAGCGGGCTGGTTGCAGGCGAAGTCCCTTCTAATGCACCCCTCCCTGGAGTGGCTGGAGCTTTGACAGACATGTACTGAGATAAAACACTTGTTTCTTCTAGACTTGAAATTACTGGGATGTTCGGATTCAAGGCATGTGACAGATGCACTTCGGTTGGAGTCAAAACACAAGTATATTGAAACGGGACATGACATTCGCTGACATCTGATTCATCACTCCCGACTGATAATAAGCCCCGCCCTGGAGTCCTTGGGCGCTCCTCTTCCTCAGAGGGAGACGTGGGCTTACTTCTCAAAAGATCAGGGTCACTGTCACCTAAATATCCAGTAGGAGTCGGAGGCTTCATGTTTCCAGGTGAATCTCCATTCCATTCAGGGGTCAACATCACCACGTCATTTGGTTCTTCTGCAAGAGATTCAATATTTATGTATTTGTAAATTAGCCAAGTAACATTACTGTGGTGCTCTGCTATAAACATTAATAATGTCAAATCACAGAAATACTTTTTTAATTGTCAGATTGTCAGTTTCTCTTTGAATTCTAAAGAGGCTGTTACAACTGCCTATCCTCACCCATGTAAAACTCATGTAAAGAATTTAATATAGTAAGAATATGAACCATCAAAACATGCCAAATACAATATAATAGTTTATTTGAGCCATAAATTTTATTCAATCGAATATCACTCTAACATTACATAACTGTTGTTCCTTATAGTTTATGCATAATACAGAAGCGGATCACTGCACACCTGATTATTGTGCAGATATACAAATGAAATGATTTACCTATGCTTAGTAACGGAGATGGGATGTGACCTTCCATGGATTTGGCGATTTGAAGGTCCATCATCACGGCCTCTTCACTTGTATGTTGTGGACAGGAAGTCTCCTCACTGTTGTCACGATACACCTTTGTCTGATACGGCTCTAACCAGCATGGCATATCCAAGTCCAGGACCGCACCAGGGGTCTGAGGGGTGTGTGGGGTAGGGGGTGTGGGGGGCGTGTTGGGGATTTCCAGCTCCATCGACTCTTCGTCTTCTTCTTCGTCAGATGAGATCACGATGCATTCATCTGTTTGTTTGTCCTCCTCTTCGCTCAGGTCGGATTCTGACTCAGGGCTGTCAGACGAGTCCAAGTCTGAAGACAACTCACTTTCCTCAGAAGTGCTACTGTCTGAAATTGTGTCTTTGAGAAAAGTCAGAAGTTACAAGCACATATATTCAAGGTGTGTATGACACGTTAGACTTTGCAGTTGGTCAAATTACAAATAATTTAATTTCATTATTAAATTTCATCTAGGTTTTACAATTTTTCAGCAATAAAATTTGACTTCCTGATTGTGATTAATGAAGCAACCATGAAGTTACCCCAGCAACCATGTAGGTGCAAAACCTCTTCTACAGTAATCAGTAATTAGAGTTAAATGTTATTATGAAAATATGTATCTATTTAGTTGAGTTTTAAATTTTTGTTAATTGAGCCAAACTTCAGGATAAGTTCTTAGTGGATTTCCCACTCGAGCACTGCTCTAATTCTTGAAAACATAATTTATTTATTTATTTCTTCTCAAACTGGCTATATTAGAGTAAAATTGTCAATTAAATCACATTTTTATTAATATTATAAACTAGAAACAGGTCGAGAAAAGAACAATTTGAAATTCTATCATACATACTTTAAGAGCAAATAACATGTATAAGCACAATCTTAAACATCTTCCAAAAGATATGAGCCAGACTAAATGCTGTATAACAGTCAAATATGAAGATATTTTTTTTAAACTTACCATGATCAGAGGATATCGCCTCTGCAGATGTTTGGGAAGTTAAATCAATGTCAATCTTTTCCCTTTCACAACTCACATGGACATCTATTGCCTTTTCTTCACTCTAAAAAATCATAACAAAAATGTGAGATTATTCTGAACGTATAATATGCTTTGAAAAGACAAAGAGCCAGTCTTCGCATCATTACCAAAATCGAATTGTCCTTTTCGACTTGAACATTTATGTTTTCTTTGTCATAATCCTTTGGTTTAACATCTTTGACGATCTCGTCTTGAGCATCGTCTTCTTCATCACTGTCCAACACCTGCGGTCGGCCGTGTCTCTGTCTGCTTTTCTGTAACGCTGTCTCCTGAATGCTTTCTGCATCCACAACTAAGATCCCACAAAGTTTCATTCAATTCACAGTGAACATTAAGTTGTTTTTTGTTTTCAGTGCACTTACCAGAACGTTCTCTTATATGTTCTTTAACTTCATTTACTGGTTCATTACTGTCCTGTTTCCTTTTGACCTGAGTGGCATGCATCGTCATTTGAGGCAACATATAGAGGATGATGAATTTGTGGGAAAATTTGTGATTTCTTTACCTTAAAAGATGGTAGTGGAGGCTTTTTGACCTGTTCATTCAGGTGACTTAAAGGATATAATAGTTTGTTTCTGTCTTCTGAACTTGTGAGAGTCTTTTTTCCAGGTGATATCTGAACCTAGTGAGTCACACAAAAATAGCAAAAGAAATTATATATATATATATATATATATATATATATATATATATATATATATATATAGATATGACTTATTGCTTCAAAATTCTTGCACATGAGTGTGTATTACAGGTGTATATATACAGTATTTCTTTGCACTAGAATATACAGGTTTAAACAATATGTTTTTATTTGTATACTTTTTTTTCGACTTAGTTTCTTTACCAAGCTAAAGATAGAGAAGTATTTCATTTAAATTTTTAAAGTATGACGTTGTGCTATACATAATATTCACTTATCTTGTGTTGTGTGCTCCTTTGTCCTACTGTAACTTGTGATGCAACACTGACATTTCCCAACTGCGGGACAGAGGAGCTCGAAATCTTATTCTTAAATCACCTCACATTAGACAAAGAGAAGTTAATAACCTTTGATTTCTCCTCTTGGCAGTTCCACCAGTCTTCAAATGCTTTAAATGCAAATCCTTCAATCATTCTGCGTGTAATGTCCTTTTTAATAATGGATTTAAGCTCATGGACAACAGCATCCATAACCTTCTCCACAGTGATTCTATGGAGGTTTTCTTTGATCACTGGGTAGTTTGGAGGTGGTACAAAGGGGTTGAATCTGGGAAACTGTGGTGGCCACGTTCTCCCAAAGGGTACAGAAGCACAGATGGGGGGTTGACTGGGTGGTCCCTTGGAACATGTGTGTGGAACGGATATTTGTGGAGGTGGTGGAACAGGAGGCGGTAGCATCATTTGTGGAGGAGGTCCCAAAAGAGTGAGTGGCGGAGGTATGTGGCAAGGTGGAGGAACAGGTGGAGGAAGTCCCAGGAGGCTTGGGCGACATGAGGGTGTAATCCAGCCCGGAGGAGGAATGGGGATTATCCCGTTGGGAAGACGAGGTGGAATTGGAGGGAGTGAAGAGGCGAAGAAAGAAGGCAGAGGAAAAGGTAGAGAGAGAGGTTTAGTTGTTGAAGTCTGTGGGAAGCTGTCAGGGCTAGGCAACAACAGAGGGCTGGGGTTGTTGGTAGTTATCAGAGTTCTGTTATAATGTGATGATTCACATGGATGTGGGGAAACTGAGTTCTTCATGAGAAAAGAAACCGCTTGAGCTGTTTCATCTTCTTCACTCCCAGTAAAGGATTTTCCACTCACATCCTCAAGGTCATGCAGAATATCTGGAGAACCCAGTGCTTCATCTGCAGAGTCATGAGCTGTACATGGTGATGCTGGGCTCTCACGCAAATGATCCCCTTCAGATGCTTTTTCATCGAAGAATGGAGGGGCCGCGAGCTGATTGTTTGTCAACAAACTTTCAATGCGGGAGTCTAAACTCCATCGCTCTGGACCCGGAGAATAGACAGCTGGAGAAGGAGAGTTTAATATGCTGTCATTATCTTCAAGAAAGGAAGCCACTGTTGCTCTATCACTTATATTGATGCTGTAGATACTGGAAGAGTCCGAGCTCAAAGTTTTACTTGTGGCTGCGTCATTTTTGAGATAAGAGCATTTTTCCCTTTCAGCAAGAAGTTTAAGTTGATACAGCGAGGGCCAGCGTTTGAAATGTGCAGTTTCTCTGAGCCCTCTGTGAAAATGTGTGAGCTTTCTATGTAGCTCATGTCTCATGGGTTTTTGAAAGTTATAAGTAGTTTCCCCCTGAAGAACTGGAGTTCCCTGCAGACTTGAGTAACATGAGTCCTGTGATAGTGGGGTCGAAGGTAAACAGGGAGTTCTTGGGGTTCCAAAAGATCGAGGTGTGACACCAAAACTGCAAGGTGTGTCCAGCCACACACTGGAGTAACCTGTGTCTTGAGATAGAGGCGAGCTGACGCTGGTGGGGCTGGACATGCCACCTCTGAACTGCATATTGGCACTGTGCTGCAAAACAATTTAGAAACATTTAATAGTACACTTACTCTATAAAACATTAACCCCTACTATATAAAACAACCAACCAAGTTATCGATCAGTCTTTGAAGAGCTTGTTCGCTGCTCCCAACTGGTAGCGTCCAAGGCGTATAAAGGCCATGGATAAGGAGTTGAATGTAACAAGCCCGCTTCTCTCCTAAAAGTACAAACATATTTATAGCAACAGCATGTTTGGTAAATTGGAACATAATTTGTCTTACCCTTTGTGTCAATTTCCACATGTATAACGTTTCCCATCACTGATGTCTGATTGAGGTGTTCAACAGCCTCTTTTGCAGCCTTTACTGTCTCAAAAACTACTTTGGCAACTCCTAAATGCTTCTTATTCTTGGGGTTATAGAAGACTTCCACTTCCTCCACTTGTCCATATTTATCACACATGTTTGTAAGAAATGCCTCCTTCACGTTGTCATTCAGCCCCGCAAACGTCACTTCTTTAGCAGGAATAGGACCCACATAGTATTCATCAACCTGGAAGAGTAAAGCCAGTTTTAAAAAGACCATTCACATAGTGTTTATGCAGTATAACGTAGTACTTTAAATTTAGGACGCAAGAAGTTGATCTTGTGATTTACGCTCCATAAGCGCTGTATGCGTGGATCTCTAACATCTTCCACAGGGAACAGACCCAAATCCTCGACCTGTTGAAGAATACAATGCATTTACACAACATCATGCACGTTGATAAATGAGAATATTAAACATACGAGTGTACTTACGGGAATGCTAAAACGCTCTCCGTCAAATCTATACACTTTGGATAAGCCTATTGTCAATATGGGGTCAATTACCAGCTTGCAACTTCTCCAGGGCTCGGGCGCTGATTCCTTTTCAGAAATGTGTGTTTCGCTTTCCATCACATTTGTCAAACCCTATTGAACACGTTAACACAGACAAAAGACTTATTTACAGCGCAGATTGCAGACTGCACCATTACAGCCGTAAGCTAATCCAACTCACACGCCCCACAGGTGATGGAGAGCATCACCTGTTTCAGTATCATCTTCCAAAGTAACAAAGACTTCAAAACACTACATAGAACCCGGTGTCCTTCTTATTAATAACATAAACTGTTTTAGCTCACCTGTGCCAAAGTAGTGATGTTTTTAGAGCCAACATCGTGGAGCAAATCTTGTGTTTTTTTTCCGCTGCTTTACTCCCAGGATAATTAATAGATCCCTCCGCCAGAGAAATATAGATCTTGAAGAGCGACAGGCGGAAGAATACTTTTGTTACGCTCATGCTGCAAGTGATATGTGTTGTGTTGGGTCTCGTTTACAACAGTATAACAACAGATTACACCAAAATATGATATTACTCAACTGTACTTCAACGGACTACAGTGTTGTCTTTCGCTGAATAGGTGCTAAAAGCTGGGGAACCTAACTTTTTGTCTCAATTTGTATCTTATTAGAACCACGTGAGTCACTATTTGACTATTTGTGGGGAGAGCTGATTGGCTGAGATAGGGCGGTCCTCTCTTACATGCAAAAATACATGCATGTGAAAACTAGAACCAAAGTGCTTTGATAGTTAGGTACCAGTAAGATGGATTTGATTCGTAAAATGTGGTTTCAAATATAGATGAATTAATAGTTACCTAATGTAACTTAAGTTCTACGAATAGGTGCGTAGTCCCTTAGGACTTCGCTAGTGGGATATCACTCGTGACCCCCAGGTCACACGCCAGAGAGATCAAAATAATTTGCTCCAATCACCAGCCACCGTCCTCTATAAATGCCCCTGCAAAAGGCCGCACCCCCTCTTGAACTCTGCCAAGCCGGGCTGGCCTGATGGGCTCGTAGCTAAGGGACTACGCACCTATTCGTAGAACTTACGTTACATTAGGTAACTATTAATTCTACGTCATGGTGCTACGTCCCTTAGGACTTTGCTAGTGGGACACAACGCGGAGGCCGTAGGAACATGTACTCCCAGCAGGCCAGCGAAGGGTGATTGGAGCTCCGCCCGAGCAAGGCCCTCACACAGTGAGAGGACTCAGGGCAGAAGAAACAATGCGTGTTACAGGGCCACTCCTACCACGGATACCCCCACGTAACACAGACCGTAGGTCATCCGTAGCCACAGGACGCCTCTCCCAAGAGCTCCTGACGTGGACTACCTGACCGACCAAACACACATATATGTACCGCACCTGTAGGATGCCTCTCCCAAGAGCTCCTGAACCAGGGCGGAAAGTAAACCGAAGGCCCCCTCAGAGGAGGGACCTAACGGTCTAACTCAGTCCGCTGCACTCAGCACGGAATGGGCCACCGACCGGTCTGACACATCCAAAAGATAAGACCGGATGAAAGAGGAGGACAACGCCCAAGAAGCCGCACGGCAGACGTCCTCGACCGACGCCCCCCTGAGAAGGGCCGTAGAGGCCGCCATCCCACGCGTGGAATGCGACCTGAAGCCCACCGGGGGGGCCAGACCCTGCGTCTGATACGCCCGCCGCACAGCCGTGGCGACCCAGTGCGCCAGCCGCTGAGCCGACAGCGGGGCGCCCCTGTTCTTGGGGCCCAGACACACAAACAGCTGACCACCCAACCTGAATGACGACGTCATGGCCAGGTAATGCCTCAGCATTCTGACAGGACACAAAAGGTGCCGCCGCTCCTCCTCGGGGGAGGCATGCGGTGGCGGATAGAAAGCCCTAATCCTGATGACTCTCGACCTAAAAGCCGACGTGATGACCTTGGGGAGAAAGGCCGGATTGGGCCACAATTCCACCATGCCGTCGCCCTCTCCAAGGACAGGCAAGACGCATGGACAGAGAGCGCACACAAGTCGCCCGTCCTCTTAGCAGACGCCAACGCCAACAAGAGGGCCGTCTTAAAAGCGACACACTCGGGACTCGCCTCCGCCGCCGGTTCAAAAGGCGGACCCGACAGCCCCCTAAGGACCACCCTGAGGTCCCAAACCGGGGGCGTTCTCTGGAGCGGGGGCCTCCTCCTGCGCGCCCCCCGCCGAAAACGTTTAACCAACGGATGAGAGCGGGCTGTGAACCCCCCGAATCCGTTGTGACCCGAAGTAATGGCTGCCGCGAACACCGCCAAGGTGGCGATAGCCCTCCCCTTGTCAAAGAGCTCCTGTAGGAATCCCAGGACCCCCTCCAGCTCCCAGGCGTTGCCCCCTGGGATCCCAGGAACGGGAACCGCACCAGACGCTGAAGAGCCTCCACCTCGTGGCGTAGGCCCTCACAGTGGACGGCGCCCTCGCCCCTGAATGGTCTCCACCACCGCAGGGGGAAGACCCAGGTCTACGAGGTTCCGCCTCTCAGCCTCCAAACCCAGAGCCTGCGGCCGATTATCGGGCGTGAAAACAGGGCTCCTCCCCCCTGGACTAGAGCCCCCGGCTCGTCCGGGAGGGCCCAGGGCTCTATCACCGCCATGCCCCTCAGGAAGGGGAACCACCGGGCATGCGGACTGTCCGGAGCCACCAGGATCACCGACCTCCTCTCCTGTTCGATCCTCCGCAGCAGGACCGGCAGGAGACGCACTGGTGGGAAAGCGTACAGCAGGCCCCCTGGCCAGGGGTAATGAGCCAGAGCGTCCACGCCTAAGGGCGGCTCGTCCGCGGACCTTAAGGCGAACCAGGACGGGCACTGTGCGTTTTCTGCACTGGCGAAAAGGTCAACCACTGGACGGCCGAACCTCCGACACCCGTCCCGGGAGGGGTGGAGCCTGAGGCGCGAGAACCACCTCTGAAAATTCCTCATGTGGAGAAGGCCAAGCCGCACCACAGCATGAGCCGCCGCCATCATTCCCAGCAGGGACCTGAGGCACCGAGCGGGGACTCTGGGGCCCGCCAGAACCTCCCGGGCCAGACGGGTAATGTTGATCCGTCTGTCCACGGACAATGCAGCACGGAATGTCACGAGTCTAACTGCAGACCGAGATAAATCATGCTTTGGGCTGGCTGCAGCTTACTCTTCTCCCCGTTCACCACAAAGCCCAGACGCTGTATGTGGGACAGGACCCAGTGCGTGTGGCTCACGGCCACTTCCCTGGATGAGGCCAGAATTAACCAGTCGTCTATGTAGGTTAAATTCTTACCCCTGCGCGTCTGAGCGGCTCCAGTGCTGCCTCCACGCATTTGGAAAAAGTCTGAGGCGCGAGTGCGTAACCGAAGGTTGGAGACGGCAGTACTCGTAATTCCTCTCTCCCACTGCAAAGCGCATTTGAAGGAAAACTTTCCACCCCGACCTCCTCTGCCATAGGGAGGTCGGCGGTGGGTGCGTTGCTCCCGCGAGCCACCCGTGGGTCTGTCTGGACCCCGGGGGCCTCGTCGAGGGGGGACGATGGACAACAGAGCGCGGATACGGGTCAGGATGCCTCCCGGGCGAACGCTCTCCGCCTCTGTCCCGGCTCCGTGATGGTTGGTGGGCCTCGCGCCTCGGTGCTAGGTGCGGGGCTAGCCTAGCCGAGTTGTTGGCTGCAGACTCCAGTCTCGCCACCAGGGCCTGCATGTCCGGGCCGAAGAGGGACGTCTGAGAGATGGGCAGGTCCAGCAGCTGCCTCTTCTCCGCCTCCCTGATATTAGCCAGCCCAAGCCAAAGGTGCCTGGCCCCGACTTGGGCTGCAGCCATGGAGCGGCCACCGTCCACGGCTAGCGTCTGGCACATGCGCAGAATCGCCGCCGAGGTGGTCCTCGCCTGTGACAGGAGGTCTCCACTGAGCGCCTGGCCAGAGGAGAGCGACCTATTCAGGGCCCCCGTGATGAATGCCATGTTGTTAGCCAATGCGAGGACCTGTGCCGCATTGGCATAACATCTATCCAGCATCGCCACGACATCCTGTCCCGCTCGGAGGGAAGGAGAGGTCTGGTGCCGGGCCACACGGATGCGGAGGGCTGCAGGGCCATGCGGACTGAATCCTCGGTGTCCGGGCCACCATCCACGGCTAGCGTCTGGCACATGCGCAGGATCGCCGCCGAGGTGGTCCTCGCCTGTGACAGCAGGTCTCCACTGAGCGCCTGGCCAGAGGAGAGCGACCTATCCAGGGCCCCCGTGATGAAAACCATGTTGTTAGCCAATGCGACGACCTGTGCCGCATTGGCATAATATCTATCCAGCATCGGCAAGACATCCTGTCCCGCTCGGAGGGAAGGAGAGGTCTGGTGCCGGGCCACACGGATGCGGAGGGCTGCAGGGCCATGCGGACTGAATCCTTGATAACCGGTCCAGGACCGGTCCTGCCCGCTGCAGTACATGTCGTGCCCCAGAGCAGGCCTCTTGGCTGCTAGGGGCAGCTCACGTGTCGCGTAATGGACGAACGGGTCCATCCGCGGGCACAACGTGGGTTGTATCCTCCTCCTCCCTCGAGTGGTGGCGTCCACAGACGTGAAGTCCTCCACCGTCTGGATCCAGCGATGACGTCCGACGCCGGAGGGCGAAGGGAACTCGGACGAACAAGGAAGACATCTCAGAATGAAGTAAGTACTGTAGTAGATCTCAAACGGCGCCAGAGTGAAAGAGGGGGTGCGGCCTTGTGCAGGGGCATTTATAGAGGACGGTGGCTGGTGATTGGAGCAAATTATTTTGATCTCTCTGGCGTGTGACCTGGGGGTCACGAGTGATATCCCACTAGCGAAGTCCTAAGGGACGTAGCACCATGACGTAGAACGATTAGTGATTTTGAGTGGAATATTTTGGTTTCCTGATCGGTCCCACCATCCTAGAAATTATAACTGTTTAATTGTAGGAATAGGAATAACACTTTTATTCACTTTTTTAATTAATTCTCCCTGTTAATAGGCAAATTTATGTGAATGGACCGATACAACTACCTTTGCCACAATCAGAAAATATCTCAGGATAATCTCCCCCGTAAACACAGTCCGGTTACATCCATAAAATATGGGGGATTTAATTCCCTATGGTAGGCTACTATGGTGGCTACTATGGTGATAGATAGCTATGGCCTGCGCAGGTTGACAAAGACAAAATATCTGGCCCTCATAGTCATAAGGACTCCATTGTGTGTCCATGTTATGACCATGTATCTATTTGGTTCTGACTCTAATATGTTCTGAATTCTCTCTTGATGCGACACGTATGCCTTTCTATGTGTGATGTATCTGTGACGTAACAAATGACTATATAAACCATTACACAGAGCACCAGTACACAGAGCACCAGCCCCTCACTGATCCTCCTGCAGGTGGTGAGTCCACAGGAGCGGAGATGTTTTCGCAGGGGCTTCAGGCAAAGCAGGGAGAAGTGTCTTGCCCAAGGACACAACGACAGCAGACATCAGTGCGAGTTGTGAATAAGGTCTTGTGGTGGTCTCGAACCCACGACCTTCAGGCCGAAACGCCAATGCTCTACCAACTGAGCCACTGTTGTTTTATCTATATTTTCTAATTAATAATCACAAGAACAAAATACATGATAATACAATATTATTTATTTTTATAGAGGCTTTGGAACTGTAATTTCATGTCTGCTCATGCAGTAAACAGTATTAAAGTGTTACAATAAATGAAAATATATAAACAGAGAACCAGTGTCATTTACATGATCCAGTGACAATGAGGTCTAATTCAATACCACTGAATTGAGTACCTTATTTGGCATAAATTACCATTTCCATGTAATATGTATCACAGGACAAAGACAAAAAAATAAAACGGGAATAAAATAAAAATATGTAAACCATATCAAAGCAGACTTTTGTAACAATACATGGCAGTCATAAGACAAAAAAATGTACCAAACACAATTTTAAAAAGCTAAAACCACACCACAGGCTTAATACAACATTAAAAAAGAGAATACTTTCCTTCATAATTTTATGTGCACAGCAGTTCAAAAATTCACCAAATAACATATGACTCATATTCAGCTTAGAGTCTATGGTATGAACATGTTTATAGATGGTTTGTAACAAGCATACCCCTGTTCTAAACAAGAGTGCATGAAGCCTGTGTCATACATCAAGATTTATTGACCAAATTATGTAAACAGCCATAATTGTAAATACAAATACATTTTATTTGAACTATGGACAGAACCCATCCATGGTTTTCAGAATGGTAAAAAACTGTTGGCATAGTCATCAGAACCAAATCAAAACAAACAGAATAGCTTTTGAATGGGGAAACAGTATTTGAGATGCTGCATGAAACAAGAAGCTGAAACTCAGAAATGACACATGTTTAGATGAGGACTCAGAATCTGAAAGGGAAGTTATACTCACAGTAATGCCCTTTGGCTAATCTGACCTCTGAATATTAACATTACAAGTTTCAGTTGTATGTATAGAACAAGATTTTCCCAAAAACGCAAATAATGCATTCTATCTTCAGTACTTTTTTCATTGAAACATGTCCATAATTTAAGGGAAGGCCTTGAGCTCGTCATTCTCAGCCCTGTGATCGAGTTGGTTCTGAAGGCGAATGACCTGCTCCAGTTCCTTGATTTGCCGGTCGGTTTTGTGGCTCACCAGCGTGCGGTAGAAATGCACCGCGAACAGTATGAAAACAATTCCAAACGGCACCATGATACAGGTGGAAGCGATGGCAGCTGCTTGTCCAGAGCTGATGGTCCCATTTTTGCCATCATGGCTGTTTTTAAGAGGTAGAAACTTGACCCAGCACAACAGCATTACTTCAGTAAGAAAGAGCAGTGTGCCTATAACTGTGGAAAAGGCCCAGGCCAGCTCAATGTAGCGGTGCATGCGCTCATGGGGAGATTCATTAACTGAATTCAAATTGTGCACGTTGCTGACTGCCTCCAGGTTGGGAAGGATGCAGGTGCTGATCATGAGGGCAAACAGATGCACCGCGACCAGGACAGTGGTGCAGGCACTGAAAGCAATGAGGAGTCCAGGAGGGTAATCATGGTCAGGCTCCAGCTGGACTTCCACCATGGCCACCTGAAGTGGCAATAACAGAGACATACATTCCGTATATGAATAAACAACCAAAAAAAAATGTCAACGTGCAAAAGGCCAATAAAAAAAAGACAATAATTAAATATATTTTTAGAAGGTTTACAGATCCTATTAAGGGCGCGTTCACACTTGTTCGGTTGGTTCACTTTAAACTGGATCAAGTCTGGATCTAAAGCAAAAACGCTTACATTTGTGGATTTGAAACCAGCCTGAAGATTATGTTATGGCTTCATTAAATAACCCCCTACTGGGCTGTTTTGCAGCAGGTTGTGAAGCACCTGGGGTGAGAATTAGCATCTCCAAATCAATGACAGAATCTGGTGCAGAAACACAAGACTAGATGAACATTGTCTCAGCTGGCCTAGGAACGCACTGGGATACTACTTTCCTCACATTTTCAACATTATAACTTTGAGAATATATCCTGCAACAACCAAGATAATAAGGGTTTCGGAACATTTATGCAAACTAATTTCCCTGTTGTTGCTCTTTAATACTTGATGTGCTCCATAAACACTTTACAGAGAACATATTAATGTTCATGACAGAATTGGATGGATGGAGACTCCATACGGAGCATGCATGGAGTCTCCACTGTTGGTCTGTCTTCACTGTAAATTAAGAATAGAATTCTTAAATTACAGTTAAAACCATACAGAAGACTATAATTGCTTGTGTATATAATGCAGACTTAATTTAAAATAGTAACTATAAATATTAGTTATTTTACAGCTTATTGTCAAATACATTTAATTTATAATGTCATATATAGGATCTGCGTCACATAGCCTGGAGCCACCATTCTCTCACATAAACGTGCAAACATTACAGTGGGATTATGTTTCCAAAAGTGTCTTACCATGGCAAATCCAGACAACAAAGCTGAGGTGCGGCTGGTCGCCTTCAGTTTTGCGCGACTCAAGTAAAGTTTTCTCCATGACAGCGCCTGCATGGAGTGCTCGTTCAAACTCATTGCGAGAGTTACACTTTTCTTTAAGTCTGAGAGGAAGTAGTTTACCTCGACGCTAAACGATCAAAACAAATACACGCTACCTAAAAGCGCGTTAAAATGTAAAAGGCCTGCACAACTATGACACAACTTTGTTCAGTTGAGTGTCCGAGTCGATCAGGAAACACAACATACCCACAATCCTATGCTCTTCACAGCAAACTTTGAGCTGTGAAAGAAATGTAGACACATTATTTTGTAACCAGACTTTTGTCTTAACCTTCTACACTCACTACCAGTGCTTATTATAGGCCGAATACAATATGCAAAGCAGTTACCAGCGGGGTGATTTGAGTGCAAACTTAGCATTTTAACATTTTACTGAAACCAACTTGTTCTTCTTTGCATGTCATGTCTTAAACACCAGAGGGCGCCATAACACCGCGCTATTACTAAGTAATATGCATGCACTAGCACTAGGTCGGCACTAGTGCTACCAGTGCTATATTACTGTTTTTTTTTTTTTTTTTTTTTTTTTCGCACAATGGCTTGAATATTATTGTTTTCGGTGGTTTTGTCCACTTATCTCAATAGCATTTTATTACATTTCAGTTTTTATTGTGACCCAATATAAATGTCCATGTAATTTTGATAGATTTGTATACATTTTGCCTATTTTAGTTAACGATGCAGGACATACAGGACACATTAATATTTACAGTCTATGTGCAGGACACGTATAATAAATATTGAAAATTGATAATCACACGGTCTTTCCCCAATAATTAAACTCGATTTAATTTGTGACAGGTCCAGTGTCGTATGTTATGATCATGGGTGTATTATGATTATTTTGCATTATAATATATATAAGCAGATGGTGCGTCGGTCACAGTCTGTGATCTGTCCCGTGTGTTGCGTCACGAGGAGGCGGGGTGAACCCAGGCCTTCTGCGAGTATTTTATTCGTAGGTAGGTTCTGCCACAGGGACCGATTTCAGCTAATCAGAGAGCTAGTCAAAAGTGACGTAATCAGCGCGCCGGCAGATTACATTATTACCTATTAATATAAACAATGTTTATCTTTTATGTATTCAATCATGTTTTCTTTCACGTCACATTGAAAAAAACATTTCTCATTAATTAGCATTTAACAAGACACAAACATTGACCCCACCTACGAATAAAATACTCGCGGCCGGGAGCCAGACCCCCCATGGTGATCTAGTAACATGTTTTTTTTTTTTTTACCTTTTTTTAAACTATTAGTTTATGTTGTCTTTTTCTATTTGGGCCAAAAAAAAGGGCCCACGCCCAACTTGGCCTTGTTTGGTCTCAGGAGCCGACTTTTGAAAAATGGTGTTTTTGTAAATATGAAGGTTCTGAAATCACATACATTGTCATATCAAGCTGACATTGTGCATGGTGTCTCCTGACACATGGGGGAAACTAGAAAAAAGATGTTTGAGTTTGCTACATTTTTTATTTTTTTTATATTACCTTCAACATGTAACAAATTGACATCAAAAGTGATTATTTTTAAGCACGTTCTTGTACATATCATACCTCAAATGTTATTCAAAGACTGTCCATATTCATAAGCTTCAATTTAAGATCAAGATCACCTTTCTATCTAGAAGATTTCAAATTTTATGACCAAAGTTCTGCTCTAAACCTCAAATCGGAGATATATTATGCATTTCCCTTGCATATGAGATTGGGCAGGTTTCTTCAGAATCTTCAAACATAAACGTTTTGTGCACTAAATGACTAATGAGACCATTCTGGGTTAATTTGGAGTCACTAATCATGGGAAGGCACATAAACACTATAAAACATATAATGTGAAATATATTAAATATGATAGCAGCACAAATTCTGTAAAGGTTGATGTTTTATTATTAATAGAAAATGTTTCATTTTGACACTTCCTGTCTCAACCGGAAGTCAAGTGGCTCGCGCAACATCAGACGGAGAAAACCCCAGTTACTTAATGTAACTAAGGTTCTATGAATATGTTGCGAAGCCCTTTAGGCTTCGCTAATGCATATCTCTCGGAAGCATCGCTTCCCGCCCTGAGAAGATCAAACGATCCACCCTCCAATCACCTTCACGTCCTGGCGTAGGCCAGTCCCCTATAAATAGGGCCATGCACCACAGCTCTTCTCCTTTCGAACTCAGCCGAATAAGAGAGGGCAGGCCTGCTGGGCTCGAAGCTAAAGGGCTTCGCAACATATTCATAGAACCTTAGTTACATTAAGTAACTGGGGTTTCTATTTCATATGTTGCTTCGCCCTTTAGGCTTCGCTAATGCATAACATAGCGAAGCCCAGACCGATGTACTCCCAGCAGGCATGAACTCCGGTGATTGGAGCAAACTCGTGACCCACGTGCTCATACCGCAACCAAGCGGTAGAGACGGAGGTCCTACGAGCCATAGAGAAAGGGATGCTGGGCCACCTCTCCCAAGAGTGCCCACGCATTCTCCAACCTGCAAAGCAGGAAAGAAATCAGAACAAACCTGGGCAGGCAGCCTCTCCCAAGAGCGCCTGATCCCCAGGAGTGTAAAGCAGACTGCAGAAGGGCCTAGGCCGCCTCTCCCAAGAGCGCCTATCCTTACTGCAGAGGTGTCCTGGCCGCCTCTCCCAAGAGCGCCAACACCTCTCCACACAACCCCCTCCCTGCAGACCAGTTCTCACCAAGGTCTGTCGAAGGAGGAACTAGGGCCGCCCTGCACTCACTCAGGCCACCTCCAGTAGGTAAAACTGCACAAAAGTCGAGGAGGAGGACCAAGACGCCGCTCTGCAGATCTCCTCCACCGAAGTGCCATGTCCATCATGCCCTCCCGATCGGGGAGGGACAAACAAGACGGCTGCACGGAAAAGGCGCACAGATCCCCAGACCTCTTGGCCGAAGCCCACGCCCACAACAATGCCGTTTTGTAGGACAATGAGGCAATGGTCACATTGTCCAGGGGTTCAAATGGAGGCCCTGAAAGGCCAGCCAAGACCACCTGAAGGTCCCAAGACGGAGCCGACCGCCGGAGGGGAGGCCTGAGTGGATAGCACTCTCGCCTCTCAGCAAGAAGGTCCTGGGTTCGAATCCCGGCCGGACCAGGGCCTTTCTGAGTGGAGTTTGCATGTTCTCCCTGTGCCTGCGTAGGTTTCCTCCGGGTACTCCGGTTTCCCCTACCACTAAAAATATGTACAATAGGTCTGGCATGCGCCTCCTGTTCGGCGACCCCGCTCCCATCTCTGTGTGGAGTGAGAGACAAGTGCCCAAAAAAAATAACAATTGTAAACCGCTTTGTGACTCTGGTCTGTGAAAGGCGGTATATAAATAAAGCTTACTTACTTACTTACTGATCCTGCGGGCCCCTCGTAGGAACCGCGCAGAGTGGCTACCAAACCCCATGTGCCCAGTGGTAATGGCCGCCGCGAACACACCCAGAGTGGCGGCCGCCCTTCCATTTCTCCAGCAAGAACTGGAGAAAAGCCAAGACCTCCTGGATGGAGGGATGTTGGACCCCACTAGGTGGGGTCCAACATCTGTCCACGCACCAAGAGGCGAAGAGTTTCCAGCGAACCTCATACGCTTTGGTGGTGGATGTAGCCCTCCCACCCTGAATAGTAGCGACCACTGAGGGAGGGAGACCAAGGCTCAACATGAGCCTGCTTCCCAGGACAGGGCATGAGTAAAGGGCTCCCCCTGCCTGTCTCAGAGCATCAGGACGGTCCGGAACGGGCCAAGGCGGACTGAGCGCCATGCTCACCAGGTCCGGATAGCACCTGGCTCCCGGGCTGTCCGGCGCCACCACCAGGATGGAGACTCTTCCGTCCTCACCCTGTAAAGCAGGGCTGCCAAGAGCCGGCGAGGCGGGAAGGCGTAGAGGAGACCGTTGGGACACGACCGGTGCGCCATGGCGTCCACCCCGAGAGGGGGCTCGTTGCTGGACCTGAGCGAGAACCAGAGTGGGCACTGTGCGTTCTCTGCATTTGGGAAAAAGTCGGCCACCGGTGTCCCGAACCGGAGCCAGACCTCTGCCACAACCGCTGGGGCGAGACCCCACTCGTCCCGCAAGGCCTCGCCCCTGGACATCCTGTCGGCGGCTACATTACGCTCGCCTGGGATATGACGGGCCCTCAGAGAGGCTAGGTGAATGTCCGCCCACAGAAGAACCTCCACTGCCAGCCTGTGAAGGGCGGGGGACCTGGTCCCCCCATGCCTGTTCAGAAATGCTGCCACAGTGGTGTTGTCCGTCCGAACAATCACCTGTTGGCCCTCCAGTCTGGTCATGAAATGGGCCAGCACCAACCGCATCGCCTCCAACTCCAGGAGGTTGATGTGCCCCAAGGGGGAGGACCAAACGCCTCCTGTCGAGTGGTGGCCGAGCACGCCTCCCCAACCACTCAGTGAGGCGTCCGTGAAGACCTTGATGTGGTGGTCCACAACACCCATTTGAACTCCCTCCTGGAGTCGACCTGGGGACAGCCAGAAGGCGACGTCGTTCTGAGCCCTCAACGACAGTCGCTCCCTCCGTGATAAGCCCCTGAGGTGTGAGAACCACCTCTGGAGATATCGCATGTGCAGCAACCCCAGTCTCACCACTGGATGGGCCGCTGCCATCATGCCCAAGAGAGACTGGATCTGCCGCGGTTGCACCCGAGGTTCACCCAGAACGATCCGGCCCAGGTTCTGAACCGCCGCTTCTCTCTCTGGCGAGAGTGAAGCCGTCATGCTCCTGGAATCCAAGCCCAGTCCCAGATACGAGATCTCCTGGGCCGGGCACAGGGAGCTTTTGTCCCTATTGATCACAAACCCTAGGTGGGCACGTGGTTTAACACTCTGGACGTTTGATCCTGCGCATCCTCCCGGGAGGACAGGATCACCATTCGTTGATATACGTCAGTGTCCTGAGGCCCTGACGCCGAAGGGGTTCTAGCGCCGCCTCCACACACTTGGAGAAGGTGCGGGGGGGCTAGGGAGTAGCCGAGTGGGGGACCGGAGGAACTTCTTGTGCCCCTG